ATCAAAAAAGTACTCCAGAGTGTTGTTCAGCATGGGGGTGAGTAGAAAATGAAGGCTAATCATGTTTTGGGTGTACTATTCCTTTAACATTTTTCCTGTTCTACTCGTTATGCAGCAATATTTGGAGACCGATGTTAGATGATTAATTAGTTGTGTCAGCTGCTGCAGTAGCCAATCAGCTGCTTTACATGCTGCTCTAAGCTTACCAACCATTGATTTAAAACATCAGTACGGGTGATGGGTGAAAATTTTTACTCATGAAGAAAAACTATAGTACCCTATTTTTAGCCTAAAGTGTGCAGCAACAAGTCATAGAGGCGAAAACTGGGGTATAAATTGACACCAAAATGATAAACCTTTAAATCTATAGGTAACAAGTCACATAAAAAAATTTACACCTACAGTAAACCATCACCTGACAGGTGCTATGATAGTGTTTGCTCAAAGAAGCTGCTCTGCTCAGTAAACAGCATAACAACCAAATCCTTGACCTTGATAAAACATAAAAGCTTAAAACAACACTGTGTAACCTCTAGCCACTAGGGGCGCTAGACCTATAACCTCCAGATTTAGCCCCATGAAAGGGAATGGCAACAATTCACTTACCAAAAAATTAATAACTCTCTATCCATATTTTGGGATCTGTTGGTCAGAAGTCATAAATCTGTTTCTAAGGACAAGGAGCATCAATATCTGAAAAGAGCTTTATATTGACTAGAAGTAATTGTATATATCTCAAATACAGCTGATACCTTGGTCAAAAGTTAAGCAGTGCTGCTCAAATGACTTAATCACATATATTTATACATTAATAAACGTTTAGTAAACAATAAATATCATTGCTCGGTTTAGTTTTCATTTCTTAGTTCTGATTACAGTAATGTTAAATGTATACGCTTGTAGTTCCCATAATAAAGTAACCAAAAGACAAAGATCTGCAAATGGCTCTTCATTTGTAATGGGCTTCCTTAATAGTTTTAAATGGGAAATTTAGGAAGATTTGGTTAAATCCCCCTTGATTTAGTTAATACAAGAAAAAACTGGAACATCCATCCATGGCTTGTTCCAGTTAAATGTTCTGCGGTAAAAAAAAAAATTAAAAAAATATGGCAGCTCCCATGATATTTATTTATTTGTCAAGAAAAAATATCAAACAACTAAACAAATAGAAAAAAAAAAAACATACACTGACAAACACATAATCAACCTATATTGAATTTTAACACAGTTTACCTTAATCAAAATGTAGTTTTAGGTTTTGACCACCAGAGGGCAGCATGGTTCCAGTTGTGACAGGCCTAATCCTCAAAGTTTAGGT